TTATTGTTTCTGCATACAATAGAGTTGTTATAAGTCTAGTTAATGGAAGAAACGTCGGAGGATGTACTACGATTTTTCCGCTTTGGTCCAATCCACCACAATCAGAGCCACATGAGACAATCGTCATTGCATATATGAATGATAACCATTATATTAAAGCGAAATTACACGAAGATTGTATTGATGACTCATCCACTTTAGATCACATATAAAAGTGACATTGCATCTACATGGGAATATCCATATGTTAGTCGTCAGGAAGAGTTTCGTGAATATTCTTTTTGTATTCCTGAAACTTTTGACATATCGAAGTAATTGTGTAACGTTCAATTTATTGTAATTCTAATTTATTTATTAATGAATGTTTTAATATTTACTTTTTTTATACATGCAATTATAATTTTTTTTGGTGTGATTTGAGAGGAACAAGATGATTTAAAAACAAGACAATACAGAACCGTCTTGTTATGTTTCCGGAACCGCCCAATCTGCTCATACTCAAAACCTGCATAATTTTCGGAACATCAAGAATTTAATTGTCAGAAAGACCCATACCTATAATTACGACTGAATTAAGTATACATAATTAAATAATCTTAAAAACAATGTTGGGTGTATAAAATAAATTGGTTAATTAAAAACAATGTTGGGTGTATAAAATAAATTGGTTAAGTATTAAAAACAAATTAGAGTAGGGCAGTTGACAGTTAAATTGGTTAATTAAAAACAATGTTGGGTGTATAAAATAATTGGTTAAGTAATAATATTCACCAAAGGTGGAATTTGTTTTATCGTGGACTGGTGAGTGGGTATATGCTCCTAATTAATTAATTTCTTAATAGTAGGCCTCCTAATCCACACACAAGAAACATTAAAGTTACTCCTAATTTGTTTAATTGAGATGCTAGGCATGGGAGACAGATGGTGCTCACTTTTTGAAAAAGAATTCTGTAAATAATAATTTTATTGGTAAGTTTAGTAAATGATACCAAAAGTTGATTTTATTTGGTACATTTAGTAGTACCCTATTTAGACTCACCCATATTTAAATAGGATATTGTAATCATATCTGACTAATTATTCTTGGATATACTACACATATGACTATTATATTATATTAAAATAATATTTTAGTCGTTGAAGTTTTAAAAGTTATATAATGGTCATCAAATTATCTAATGACTATAAAATGATCCTAGTACATTATAAAATAGTGATAAATTTAAATATAATTTAATAATTATTTTAAAATAATTTAATAATTATTTTATAATTATTTGAAAAAAATTAAATGATTATTTTGTAACTTTTTAAATTTTAATAATTAAAAAATTATTTTAGTATGTTTCAATAATTTTTTATATTTTACTCTCATTTTTAATTTTCAAAACTTGCATATTTTATCATATTGGTCAAAATTTGTAACAATTCAATAGATTCATAATATACAAAAAATCATATCAATTTGATTCAACATGATTTTTTTTACATTTACAAGGACTTGAACTTGACACTAATATTAAATTACTTACCACTTAAACTAACCCATTAGTTAACTTAAACTAATTTAATAATTCAATAAATTTATCACTAGAATAAAGAGTTTTAATTCTTTTAAAATTGAGGATTAAATCTAATATAACAGGTTGAGAGATAAATATTGTGAAACCTAAAATTTTGTAAGAATTTATACTCTAATATTTCCTTTTTCTGAAACCTTGTAGCTTGTCTCGAAACCATAGTCACTTGTCACTCACTCTTTTCTTCTGAAAACTCGTCGTCGATTACCCTTTCTTGTCATTTGTTCTGCACCATAACGTCATCCGTTATGAACCCTTTTACCGATGATTAAGGAGTACGCAACACTGACAAATCCCAAACATATTTGAAAATCATATTCTCAAAACTATAAGGTAGTGTTTGGTTCACATAATGTAAGGTTATTAATGGGAATAAAAGATTATTAGTGAATAGGATTACTGAGAATATTGTATTTTGTTTTTGGTTGGTTTAGCAGGAATGTAAGATTACCGTGTTTAGTTAAAGGAATAAAAGATTATTGGAATGTATATTTGACCAAATTATCCTTATTATATATTTGTTTTTTTAACAAGTTAAAAAATATTTATATATTTTCTTTAAAAAATTTAAATTCATAAAATTTATATAATTTTTTTATAAAATTGAAAATATAAAAAGGTTTAATTTGAACTTCATATAAAATTTTAATTATAGATTTTTTTTGTAAATCTAAAATAGTTTAAGGATAAATTTGTAATTTAACCTTCGTATAATTTTTATTATTCAATGACAGATTAAGGATGTTTTTGAAAGTAAGAAAAATTTAAGGGCATTTTAGTCTAAAACGTCGGTAATCCAACAATACCTAAGGAAAAGGAGGTAATGACATTCCCGGTAATATACCCAAAAAATCTACTATTGGTAATGTAAGATTACCGGAAATTACATTCCTGACTAACCAAACGGGGGAATATAGATTCTATTCCCACATGAATCTCACATTCTCCCAATCAAACACACCTTAACAGATTGCCCATTTTTCAACACCGCGACAGCGATCGAGGACTATGCAACGTTGAGGAATCTCAAACATCTTTTGAAACCCCTATCCTCTGTCCCAAAACCTAGCCGCTCGTTACTCATTCCCTTCTTCCAAAAACTCACCATCAATTGTCTCTTCTTATAAATTTTAAAATATTAAGAATTTATTGAATTATATTAATTTAGGATCAATTTGATACAATGTATAAATTTTAAGTACTAATACTATTATTTCATCTTACCACATCATCAATTCTATTAAATCAATAGTCAAGCCTAACAAAAACGAGAACGGGTGACCAAGACATAAATGAAATATATTGATTGGTATGTTTTTTTTTTATAAAAGAAGTTGATAACCAAAATATAAATGTGAAAATAAATGGATGATTAAATAAGTAGTTTATCCTAATTGCTTTTACAATTATACAGATTAAACTCAACCATTTCTGAGTAAAAGAGAATTAATTTAAAATAGTTTCTATAGTAGAATGACGAGCCAAGTTATTATTTCATTTGTCGGTACATTTTAGGGGGGAAAAAGAAAAGGTTATTGGTAGCTAAAAAAGTAGGACAAAATTATGATGTTGGGCCCTATCAAATTAAAGGGCCTCTCGGTCTTATGAAACGGCGGATCCATCCTTTCTAAAGGTGGGTATTTATTTTAAATTTTAAATTTAAATTTAAATTATTTATAGTTTTTATTTTAAAATTTTATTTGTATGTTGATACTTTCTAAAGTATTTTAAATTATTTCAAATTCTTATCTGTAATGTAATTTAGTAGGAAGACAGAAATTCATCATTCACTATCAGTACAAGTATGGTAATATACTCCAACGTCTATCCTTCACAAGTTAAAACAAGGACAGTGGGGGTTCCTTTGAAGCTCGTCTTGTCTTGTCTTGTCTTGTCCCTTTATCAAACTTTAAACTATTTTTTTTCTTTGAGGAATCAAATTTAAACTATTGTTTGTCCCATATTGGGTGCATGGATAATTCATTGGTGTATTTTTATTCTTTCCGTCCAACTGGAAGTTGACACGTGTGTCCGATGATTTTTCTTCTCCTTGGAAATTAACCATTCGTTTTATGGTGAAGGAAAGAGGGACATGGACTTGTGGTGGATGCCACGCCAATGTTCTGGTTGGTTTCTGCAAATTTCTTTATGCAATTGTGATTAATGATGTATGAAAGGAAGGCATATGAAGATAGCTATTTTATATACTATAATTAAAGCTAGAATTAAATAAATACTACTACTTTCAAATAATTAACATTTGAAAAATCAGTAATAAAATGATTCAAAATAATTTAAAACCTGAAATTATTTTAATTAAGATGATAACAAATTTGAATCAATCCATATTTAGAATGCTTTAAATTTTAAAATAATTAAGTTTAAATCAATTCGGTTTTTTATAATCATCGATATCCAATTTATTAATCGATATCAGATATTACAGAGACGAGGACGATCATCTCAATTCAATTACTTCATTCATACATGTTAAGATTTAAATTTCAGACTTTACTTAAAAGATCTAGTGACACGTCCGGGTAGACTTCACCTCTTTCTATGATTTCTTATTATAGAAATTCATTATGTGCTCATGTTTTATAGGGTTTAGCTAATTTATGTAATTGTAGTCAATGATTCAATGAAGGAATGCACGTGAAGATGGCAATTTTTTCGAAGCGTGTAATTTTAAATTTTGAATAACATACGCGGAATTATAAATATACAGGGATAACTACTTATTTGGTCCTTCAAATTTTGAATTATTTTAATTTTACTCTTTCTATTTTTTATTGTTAATTATACTTTACTCCATTTGAAATTCAAGTTTTGATTTATTTTGATTTTGTCCCTCCCATTTTTTGTATTATTAATTATACTTTGTTCTCCTTAAACTTTAAGTTTTGGTTTATTTTTATTTTATCGCTCTAATATTTTGTTGTTACTTATACTTTACCACCCTTGAATTAAAATCATGGCTCCATCTTTGACAACAATAATGATTGAATGTTCATTGTTAAATGATTGAAAATATTAATAACAAAATAAAATATTTTATTGAAGATGTCTTATAACCATCTCATACAAAAACTTTCTATTATTAATATATATTTACCTATCCTCAAAAATATTTTTATTTTTAAATCCGTTACTCATCGTAATTTACCAAAATAAAATTCACCTCTATCATTGAAGCTCTGTACTTTTCAACATAGAAAGATGCTACGATTCAAGCATGAATGGTGAAATAATAGTGTCGTTTAATTGCAATAAAATGTCGGATCACGGGTGGAGGAAAAATTATTAAAGAAAAAGTTGTACAATTCAACTTGAAATCCTAAATTTACACAGATCAATTTGAAATCCTGAATTTACACAATCAATAGAACCTTATTCCAGTTTAGTCCATTTATTGAACTGTTTTGTACAAATATATAAATATGTCTGAAATGAAACAGAGACATTGTGGTTAGCATGCAGTATGTTCCTCAAGCCATGAAACTATGTCACTGAAAACTCTAAGAATCATGTCATCTGGTTCACCTTCAAGAAGAGAATGGCCAGCATCCTTGTATATGATAATATTCTTGTCCGAGCTGCTTGCTTTCTCGTACAATGCTCGACTAACAGATGGATCCGTAACGATGTCGTTCTCTCCATGCAAGATTAATATTGGAAGTGAAACCTGAAATCATAATAAATTCAAACCTGGGATCAAAACCGGCTCTACAACATATTCCAAGTTAAATGATACCATTGTTGGAAGCAAAATAAGATCTCAAGACTCTTAATGAATTGGCAGAGTTTTTTGGGCTCCAGAATAAGAATATCCGAGAGCTAATATCGTCCTAAATTTAAAATGGGAAAGGAAAATGCATTTTTAAACATCGTTCCAGAATAAAATTTGTGTGGTGTAGGATCTAATAACACTGAAGAAAGAATTAAACCATCATATAACATGATTGAACTCCTGGAATACTGCTGGCGGTATCGTAACAGGATGGTTATTGAGGTACAGCCCCTGTCATGTATCCTAAGCAACATGCACGACTCATCTTCAGCTAAAAGGTTTTTGCAAGGATTTGATAATACTTTTAAGGAAAAATAAGTTTGGGGGATCTATGCGGACACTACGGTGAAGCATGGGTTCGTTCGTATCAAGCATTACACATTATATAGCTCTTGAAAAACATACACTCGGACGCAATGCCAAGCTGATACAAACATATTTCTCCAAGCACGAAGTAGACGAATCACGGGCCAAAAAAGAGATAAAAAGAATAGTTTGTTGAAAATTCACTTTGAAACGTAGATAACAAAATTTACTTGAGCGCGAAAGGGAAAAGGAAACTAGACCTTCTCCATATTTTGTTCTATCTCGGCAGTGATTCTCAACATCTCCAGAGCAGTCCGCAAGCGTGGTTTGTCCTTGTAAGCAATAACATTATAGGGTGTCTACATTGGAAGAAAAAAGAGAAGTAAATATCAATAGGGACAACTAACTGCATAAAAATATCACAATTATGCACTTAAGCATACTAGAGACACAGTTAATATATTCCGTAAACATTAATAGTACTTCAAATCATTCAAAATGATCCATAGGAACGAACCAGTTTTCTCTTCTTAATGTCTCTAAATGCCGCCTCTGCCAAATCCTTCTGTGGGACTAACTTCTGTTTTGGAAGAATATTAGCCATACCGATCAGAATTTGCTTCAGTATCCAGGGTGGAACCATGTCGTCAGCTATCTACACGAAGAAATCCTATCAATAGAAGTAATAAGAAAAAACATGTAAACAAAATCCTTAAAATGTTTATGCTCGGAACTATACTTTGCACATTGGAGCAACAAGACAGGCACCACTCCAGGCATTAGGTTGCTTTAGATGCATCTTCAGAGCTACGGCTCCACCCATGGACTGGCCAAAGAGGAAGCATGGAAGAGTCCGAAAATCAGGATTCTCTGAAATTGAATTAACCAAAAGTAAACATAAAAAGTAGAGCAATAATCAAGTACAAAAAAGTAAGAAAGTCTTCCGTCAAATAAAATTATGAGCGGAACATTCATCTTTGATGAATAATTTATATCAGAAAAATGAACTTGTAAAAGAAATAGAAAAGCTAAACCTTCTTAAGTAAGAGTAACACAACAAGAGAACTGAAAGAAAATGAATCATCCTAGTTCGATGTTACCGATGTTATGGCAAATATTGATGATAATAATAATAATAACAACGTTTGCAAAGATAAAATAGCAATCTTTCAATTCAACTTTTGACGGAAGGGCGAAAGTCCAATGATCTTCTACTTGATAGAGTAAAAAGGACGGCATGGTGCTTGAAATTAATCTCTCTACCAGCTTGCTCACAAACTCCGAATGGCCTCTTCTTTTGAGAAAAAGATTCAACTAGATTCTTGCTTGCACAATTAAAGTCAAATGGGAAGACGGAAAGGAAAAGATTGAAAAATAAGAAGGTGGAAGTGCAATTTCTTCTACTCAATACGAAAGAGTAGAGAAGTGAGACTACAAATATGTGAGTGTGATTTTCATCTGAATATAAATTTTGATCACGCAGCTTATACCGACTACATATAGGAAAATGTGAGAGAACATGAAAGTTTAAGAACATTTTAGGAATAACTTCACTTACAAATCCAATAACAAAGCACGAACGAAAAATCAAATATCTATCATCCTTTTTTAAGTTTTTATTGTTTTCTTGTTTGAGTTGAGAAGTTTGTTTTCCGTACTCAGCAAAGCATTACGGTGCTCTGCCATAATCTATGACTGCCATTTCAGTTTCTTCTGCATCTTCATTTTATATCATAATCAAACTCTAACCCATGGAGTGCTGAACTCACGAGTTTCAGGGGGGAAATAATGTGATTGTTTCTTCCAGGTCATTTTATTACTAGGGTGCTGGGAAATGACTGACGTATCTAACCAACTTTACACAACTGAAGAGGATGGAAGAGCAACATTTGTCAAATACAGAAGGTCGGTACACATCTTTTGGACATAACTTTTAATTGAGAAACCATGCATACAACATGATTTCATCTTTTTCCAAGTCCTAGGAGTAATAATTATGATTAGGTGACCCAAATATTAACGGCAATATAGAACCAAAATCATAAAGGATCGCATATTGCCAAGAACTCAAACAACTAAACTAAATCTCTTTATCAATTATCAAGTTACTTTACTTCATTGAACAAGGTTATCTAAGAAAAAATTTGTAGCAAACCAAGAAGTTCTACAAAAAGAGGCAAAAATAATATCATTAGGGCTTAGGGTGGAAAAACCACACCTTTAATTTTGGTGTATTGCTCCATCACATCATCCACTAGCCTGTCAAAGTTATCAATATAGCAATGAAGACCTTCAGACAGGCCGAATCCAGGGTAATCCATTGCAAAAACTCCATATCCACATGATGCCAATTTCCTGGCAATTCCTGCTAACGATGTCAAACAAATAATAAGGTTCCGTTACAACATAAGCAAAACTACAAAAAGTTCATTAGTTATTAGTTCTGAACTACATGCCTTCAGCAAAAAAAGTGCAAGTATCCCCATAACCATGACAAAAGAATACCATTGCCTTGGGATGGGAGGCCTCTGGAAGCCAACTTTTCGAGAAAATTTCCAATCCCCTAGAATTCACCTCATATGACTATACCACAAAATTTCAAAATATTAAGGGATTATGAATTGGACTATAGCCACTGCAATGAATTAAACATGAGGAAATAAAACATTTAGTCGGCGTGATAGACAACAACTTAGGTATGAGCTCCATCAACTGAGTCCAAGAAGGAAAAGAAAAGCATATGAATAATTAACATCCTGGATGTTTACAGCGGAGAAATCTTTTAGAAAGAAAAAAGCTTTCCAGTTGCTGAAGGTAATTCTTTCTTAAGGATAATCTGGTGGCCTTTCACTTGATATTAACACCACTAAGCTAAAATTTTAGGAAGATTGCTACACAAAAAATCATTCGAATTTGGAAGCTATTACCCATTGAAAATGAGATACTAAATCGAAAAGTATAGTCCAAAGCTTTTACCTCCTTCATCTTCAGTCTATTTGAAGGTGTCTGTCAAAACAAAGTAGTCCAAGCAACATTTACTTAACAACCACTCAAATATAAAAAAATATCTACCGAGCATGGATATGAAAATTGTGTTCTAACATTCACAATTTTTTTACTCATTTTAATAATTACCCAATTTTCTTCAATTCATTTTTTTTTTCACTCGAACTAATCAACTTAATGCTTTTACCTATAACTAAAAACCATCAAACAATAAAATGAAATAGTGGCCACAAACAATCCTACAAATAGCTTATTCATTTTCTATACTCGAATGTTGAGCAATTTCCAGTTCATTCTATACCAACTCAACCAAATCCTCTAGACAGCATAAAGAAAAAACTCAAATGAAAGGAAAAAAAACTCCAATGAATGACCTTGAACAAAAAAGAAGAGAACTTTATATATATATATATATATTAGGAGAATGAAGTTGAAAAGCATTGACCTTGAACAAAATATGATCAATTCCAAGTTGAATATGCTTAAAGGCTTCCCTGGCTCTCCTTCTAGCAAGTGCTTCATCCATATTAGCATCCAAAAGCTTTTGCAGCTCATCATCAACCCCTTGAAGCTTCAAGGGCTTAGCCATTACTATGCCTTTTTGTCTTCTCCACTTCAACAAAAACCCTGCCACCCACCAAAATTTTATCTCTTTTTAGATACCCATTTTTTGTTCTAATAGGAAGTGAAAAAAAAGTCTTACTTTTTTGGCTTTGGTTTCTAGAATTACCGTCAAAAGGATGGCTCCCGAATAAGTTTGAAGATTTCAAAGCCATATGGATTGTTCTTTTGGAAAAGTAAATAGGAATACAAAATTATATAGATTAAACACCGAAAAATGAGCAAAAGAAATGACGACGAAATATCAGCAAGCAAAACAACAAAAGTGAAGTGGACCCAGATTCTTTGCGGTTTAGTTAAGTTTCTTAGTTTACATTTCAAAATTTTGTTTTAAATAGAAAGGAGATTCAAATATTAATGAGCGGTTGGTAAGGGATAACCACTTGTATCCAAATTATTAATTAATTAATTCAGATTTGACATGATAAGGTGAGTATAATAATCTCAGTTTAGTTTATTTTATTCGTAATCGTTAAGATTCAAACTCTTAACTTTAATTAAGAGATTTAATGCACCATCCTACTAAACTAAGCGGTTATTAGTAGGGTTGTTCTCTTATTAACTATTATTATTATAATCATTTTTTGTTATCTTTCCCATTTCATGTTTTTATCATGATTAATTCAAATCAACTCATATCATACATCTAATTTTAATGGATGAATTCTTTTATAAAATTTTTCTATACACGTGATTTTAAACTCAAGACTTTATATAAACAATATCAAATTATTTATCGTTTGAATTAACCAATTAATGTTTTATCAGCATTATTAGTTTAGTAAACATTACTTATATCCTTGCAGTTCATTTCAAATGACGGCATTTTCACTCCGAATAACTAAACAACTTATGAAAACTATAATTAAAAGACATTTTTATTAACATGCAAGTAAAATGAAGTTCTGTAATCCAAGTTCCGATGCATTTAATACACATTCCAAAGTTATTATATTATATATTTTTCATTCATATTTCATTAAAATACTTGCCGCAACACAGTCCAACACAATTCAACATAGAATATTATTAATTTAATCATTTAAACAAATAATTAAATGTTAGAATATTAAAAAAAATGAAAATTCAAAACAATTCAGAAAGAAAAAAAAGTCAGAGAAAAATATGTAAAAAATGATGTGCATTGCAATAGCTGATAGCCATTAAGAACCCAGATTTCTTGGGCTAAGATTAGGTCTAAGTTTCAAAACGAGTAACGGCCATTGGACAGGGCCCAATATTAAATAGAAAACTCCCAAAACATTTAAACCCAAAAAATATGGGTAATAATTTGGATAATCACTTGGTTGTTAGAGTTTTTTTTTGTTTTTTTTAACATGAAACGTCGGGTTTTTTTAGTATTAAGGAAAGGACTAATTAAAACGATTTCGATAACAAACGAATTATTATTATTTTTTAATATTTAAATTCGTTCATGAATAGTATTAAAAATGTGAATGTTTAACGTGAAATGATTAAGTGTTATCTTTAAACATATATAATTGTATCCTTACTAAAAAATTAATTAAAAAAAAGGAAAACAAGTTCGAGGTGTGGCAAAACAGTACAGCAATAAAGAGCTTAAAAATAAAACTAAAAGTTTGTAAATAGAACATAAATGAGCAAGATAAATGGGGAAAGACAGAACCCCCAAAACGAAACCCCATCGCCGACCTTTTGCTTTAACTGCTACAGAACTAAATCGATGAAAATGAACAGCAAGGAAAGCACAACAGAACTGAAATAGAACCTTTACTCCCCATAGTGACCCTGACGGAGTCCATCAGCTTAAGGAGGATCAAGCTAGCGTCTATCCTCTGAGGAGCCACTTGGACCCTGTCCAGCGTCGAGTCTGAGGCCAAAAAATCACAACCCTTGTTCCCCGCCCTTGGAATGAACCGAAACTCACAACCCTTCACAAATCAACACATTGATCTCGGACCGATCTACCTCAAGCGACGCTAGTTTAAGTATCACCCTCAATTACAACATGCATGAAACCCCCATGTCTACAGCTAGCTGAATGATATGAACGGCAGCAAACGCAGAGGTAATGTTTCGAGTTTTGACATCTCCGCCTATAAGCTCCTATTGTTTGACCCTCTGAATTCCTTTGAATAATCCCTGACCGTGAAACATTTTATGATTGCATGAAATGGCATATAAATTCGCTTTCATCATTGTTTCTTTTGGAGGTCTCCATCGACCAATCACAATCGGTGGCAGAAGATTGAGACACAGGTAAGCCGTCATGAGTTCCGTCGTGTTTTATTTTCAATTAATATAATAATAATTTTAACTTCTACTATTTATAGATTCTATCGATTTTTAATTTTAATTTTTAAATAATTTAGTAAATTTTATTCATTCAATCCTTATTCTCATTTCCATTTCGTTTTTAAAAAAAAATCAAAGTGTTCCTCTCAAATAGGAACCTAACTTTGGTAGTTATCGAGCAAGTCGATAGTAAATTGAATAGTGCTCGATTCATGCTCATTAAAAAAATTCGTTGCTTGACTTGACTCGTTAATCTCGTTAAAATTTCACTAGACTCGTCCTCATTAAAAAAACTTGTTACTCAACTTGATTCGTTGCTCGTTAATCTTGTTGTTTGACTCATTGCTCGTTAATCTCACTAAAAGTTTTACCTTATTTTTTTAACTAAAGGTAAAATCAATAAATATATATAGAGCGTAATATAAACATAAATTAATAAATTTAACAAAAAATATCAAAAAGTTTATGAAGTAATTTCAAAGTTTAAACTTCAAGGTAACAATTCATAATTACACTAAACTAACATATTAAAACTAAAGTGAAAATTCACAAATATATCAAACTAATATAATAAAATCATTCTTCAAAAAAAAAAAAGTTCAACGATAGATAATCAATCTTAAAAATAAAGAAACCAACATATATTCACTCCATTCATTTTTGCTTTCAATCATCAAACTACTAAAAATATAAGGGTAAATTACACCGTTCCTCACTGAACTTTACTCTCTTTCCTATTTTCCTTACTTAACTTTCAATTTGCTCATTGAACTTTACAAATTGAATTATTTTACTCAATTTGCCTTTAACTATTTAACAGTGTTATGACGTGACACATGAATCAAAACGACATTGTTTTGAAAAACACAAATATACTCCAAAACGACGTCACTTCAGTGAATAAAATAGGAGAGAGAGAGAGAGAGTAAAGCTCAGTGACTCATGGTGTAATTTACCCTTTTTATTCTCTTCTTCATTTTCTCTCTGTCAACCACCATGTCATTTTCATTATGACCATCGTTGCCCATTGTAAATGGTGTCCATTCGGTCCCAAATTTCATTGGCTAGTTTGTCTCCACCCCTGAGTCCAAACCTAGTGGTTATTTCATCGAAAAATATATCAAACCCCGTGAATTTTGATTGAAACATTTCAGTTTTCTCACTTTTAATCTCAAATTCCTGGACTTTGGAGCAAGTTTCGAAAAAAGGGAGTTCAGATTTTGATTCAAGGTGTTGAGGAGAAGCAACCCATCTCATTTTAGGACCAAACAACCACCATCTACGGTGGTCGACGGTGGAATCCGACCACTTTTTTTTTAATTATTTTATATTAAATAATAATTAAAAAATGTCACATCATCAGCTGTTAGAGAGGAAACGATCAAGTGTGTAAAATGATTTGATTGTAAAGTTCGGTGAACAAATTGATCAAATTAAAAGTTGGGTGAGGAAAATAGGAGAAAGAGTATACTTCAGTGAGGAACAATGTAATTTACCCAAAATATAAAAACAGTTAGCGAGTTGCTTACGAACTTATCAAGTTGAGTTGGATTTTATTTGATTCAACTCGTTAAAGTCTCGAATCAAAATTGAATTCAAATTAAATTAACCCATACAGAATTTTATCCAATTTAAATAGTGAATTCGAATAACTTACAAGTTGTTTAACTTATTAAACACCCTTATATCAAAAGCATATCATTGTTGTCACCTCTCGAAAATGCTTCTATGCCTATATTAATTTTAATGATTTGTAAAAATAAATAAATAAAAATACACATGCAAAGATAGAAAAATGGAATACTTCCCCGTTCTACTAAAAAAGTGTGCATTATTGTTTTTTTTAAGTAAAATTTTTAAACTTTGAATATTATTATTTTAATCAATTAAATTTTATAAAATATATATCTAAGATTTATTTGATTTAAGATTTTTAGAATGTTTTTTTATATTTGTATCAATAATAAATTTTGAGCAGTCAAAATTTAAAAAGAAAATTGATAGAAAAACCAACAATAAATAAATTTATTAACGAAACAGAGAGAGTATAATATTATATTGCAAATTTGACTAAAGTTCATCCCAAATTTTTGATAAATTATATGTTCTCTTGGAACTGAAGCCCAAGTCCACGACTCATTTTTTTCTTCCAATAAATTAGAAGCCACAACTTGGTGATTGGAGTGATCAGGTTTGAACATTCCTCCATTTTCACAATAGAACCCCTTAACACAGTACATAAATACTTTTTAGAAAATATTTAATATTATACATTAAAAATTATTAATTAATTGAGCTAATGAGATATTAAAATTCATAGGTAAAATTAAGAATATGAATCATAATATTTGTGATTTGAAAAAATCACCGAATAGTTATAGTACTCAAACTGTATTAATTAATTAATTGAATATCAAATATATGTTGAGAAGAATAAAATTTATTGTGATTCCACCTATAAAATTTACCATTTCTATTCATGTAAACCGCATTGGGACTATGTGCTCCCTCTGTTTACATAAAGGGGAAAGAGAAGAAATTACAAAAACAAAAGCCCACAACTCTTGTATGTAAAAGGTAAATAAGCAAAAGCTGAAACAAGCCGCCAAAACTGGGAATAAAACATAAAAGCCACTTAAGCCGCCGGATAGTCAAGCCCCAGCTCCACCTTACGCCTTTGACTATCCTCCAACGCCTCCACTCTCCTCTTCTTTACGGGCACCACCACCTCACAACCGCGTGATACAACCGGCTTAAACCCCAACGTCAATTCCAGCCCTATCTCACTGCTTCCCTCCGGCACCACCGGAAACAGCCGCGAAGCCCCCACTGTTTCCTCTGATGAGATCATACTCTCTGTTTCTTTACTTTCCCCATCCATAACAGCCAACTCAGACTGGTGACTCAGCGACGACTCGTGACTCGTCGATCGGTTTCCCTCCAACCCTTCCTCCGCGTAACACCGCGGTTCGGGTTGTTCGCAGTTCTCCTCCTCTAAGACCGGGTTATCCACCTTGGGCTTCATAGTTCTTTTAACCCGGCAACGAGTCTTGACTCGTTGAACATTGTTGGAGGCCGCAGAGTTCTCGTCTTTTGAGACATGACGAATGTCGTATGCTTTTAGCGGCGGCCCCTGAACATTGGCGGCGGCTTCAGAAGCAATCGGCGTGATGGGAGCACCTTTTAACACAGCTTCCACGGCGGCTTGACAAAGCTGCCAGCTTCCGGACCATAATAACCCAACAGAACCATAAATCGGGTTCACGATCCGCCCACAAGCCTCGTATAATAATGACCTAAAAACAGCTTAACATCCAAAAACAAAAAGTCAGATCAACAATCGAAAACCAAATGAGTAAATAAACCACCATGAAACGCATAATGAAAATAGAAGATACCAGGACGAAGGTGTTCGGGGCCGGCGTTGATGAGGTTCATGAGACCGGCACGGCCATAAAACTTGGCGAGAAAAACGGTAGCGTTAGCCTGGGATTCAGGGCTTTTGATCCATTGTAAACATGGCCTAATGCTACAATTTTCACTGCATCCCTTACGAAGAATCCGGCATCCATTACAACTCATACGCATTTTGAAAAGAATGAGAGAAAGCTGTTTGAATGGCAAGGTCAAGATTGGAGAAAGCAAAGTAGGGGATTGAAGAAAAGGGGTGTAGGTAGAGTATTTAAGGGGAGTAGAAACAATATTATTATTATTATTTATGAAAAAAGCCGCTGGGTTTTCAGGTATTAGGGCCAGGGTGAGGGGGATGCCTTTGTCAATTTCCATTCCAAAATGCTGGTTTCCACATTCAGGGATGTTGGCTTTAAAAATAATTATTATCTTAATCCAACTTTAAAATATCATGTTTTGATATTTTCCTACCCTCACATCTGGCTCGTGTAATTCACTTCCAATTAAGGAATCCAATTTCGCATCCCCATTGGAGGCGTACTTCAGGTACTGTCCCTTCTGCGTATGACAACCTACAAATTTACGAAACGTAAATCCTCTCGTGGAAATCGGTGCACAACATTTTTTCACTAAACTAGCCCTGATCGCTTCAATTAATTACCTCTTTCTAATGGAGGTGCGCCAAAAGATGAGGACATGATGGACAATTGCTTATACGGCCAGGTGGTGAAAAAGGTGAGAGATGCCATGCAAATGGGTCCAAATATTTAGAAAGGAAGAGCGCAGCGCGTGGCAGATACGTAGAGGTATCAGAGTGCGGTCGAATCGCCACATAGGAGTGTGAAGTGGGGGCCACCGGGAAGTTCCTTTGTGTGTGTGTTTTTAAATCAAAATAACACCAGAGCAGAAAAAGGCTCCTGGTTTTCGGGAAGTTCATGTTGGTTCAAAAACCACTTTTAAAGAGGGGAATGCAAAACCGGTAACCGGTTTCCGGATTTGAAATATGGGACCGTGGGCGCACTACAAGATTCATCAGCCAACGGTTTTGCAGGCCTTTTTTTTTATGTGTGTGTATTTTTATTTTCTAAAATTTGCATTAATCTCGTGCTTATCATCTTTTACACTGCATTAAATAAAGAAATACTTTTTAAAAAAGTAACCAATTTATATTTAAAATTATTATTTTTTCCACGAAACTAACGATTTCAACATTAAAAAATTATTGTTATTTTTTGAAGTTTTAAGTTCGAGCAATAAGAATATTAAAAGTGTGGGCAGGGTCGGGGCTAGGACGTTGGAGACCATGTACAAATTCTTAAAAATAGTGTTGTTGTTAGAAAATTGAGATTAACGGAACTAATTAATCAAAGGAAGGTAAGGAATTTATAACTATGGTGGGAATAAGAATTAACGAGGGAAATAATTAAAATTTGATAAAGTGAATTGAAGAAGATGAGCTCTTTTCTCGTAAAGTGGAGTTAGACCCAAAAAAATGAGATAAGCTTTAAAGCTGTAACACATTACTAATTATTGATATTTCTCATATGACTTCAACGAGATTCGATCGCAGGTTCTGTGGTTTTGAGCCCAAAAATTTTACCACCGATCCATAATACTTTGTTTATTTTTTTAGTGTAACAATAGTAATAAATCTAATTTTTTGGAGCCCTTGCTATTACGGGGCACTGTTCCGTATGTGCTCGCCCCGCCCCTGAGTGTAGGTGTTCAATTTTAAATGGTTGAGGGTTATCTTTGAATAAATATTACTTTATACTTACCCGTATTAATAAAAATATTGTTTTTATAATATTTTTATTTATTATAAAAGATGTTCATACATATTTTTTCTATATATTTGGATGCATCATTATTTTCATATATTTTTATTTGTTTTATCACATTATGAATGTTATAAGATCTAACAATGATTCACATGATCTTATTTCTCCTCTGTAAGGTTTTTTTTTATCAAGTGAATATAAACATTCAGGAATCAAATAACTTACTCTCCTTAAAAACAAACTTAAATGATTTCTTATGTTTTGAATTTGTTATAGTTTTAGTATTTAATAAATTAATTCTCTTAAATTTGCCTCATTCATTATACATAAAAAAATTTACTAAACCTAGTTTTATCCAATACTGTATGCTCTATTACATAGTTTTGTTTAGATGAAAATGAATGGTAATGTTTTTTTAAACAATACATAAATAATCATGCTTACAATGAAAACACGATTACACTTAATCTTTCTCCTTTTCATAATCATGCTCAAATTACATTTTAAATCAAAATTCATGTATAAATTTAATTTTTATCCCACTAATATGAGATTACCATCATTGCTCAGATTCATTAAGGGTACTTTAAATAATTTTTTTTTTGTACAAAAGGTACATTTTCATTGGATAATACATCATTCACCCAATAAATAAATATTAATATAAATGTTTTTTAATATATTAACTTAAGTTTTGTCAATTTTTCAGAAACAAAGTAGATTTCGTGATAAATAAATTATTGTTATTTTTTTATGATTCAAGTTCGAGTACCATAGTTATCAAGGATGTGAACGTTCAATGTCAAAAGATTGAGAGTTATTTTTAAACAGATACTACCTTATACTAACCTATATTAATAAAAAAAATGTGTCAATTTATATAAATTGAATTAATATCATCGAATTTATTGACACGAAATTTAATTAAAATTAGGTAAAATTTCGATAACTTATTTTAGAATTCCGAATTCTCTATCTACTTTTGAATTTTTAAGTCATTTCTTTACCATCAAAAGATAAAGACGTGTTAGGTCTTCTTGCTCGATCATTACGTGAAAAATAATGTCAAAATTTTGGTCTGGTTCATTGAGACATCAAGTCAAACATGGCGTAAGGAATGGTATGAGGATATTACTCAAATATTTTCTTCCTCTTAAATTAAAAATTATAAATATATTTAATTTCACATTCTTGTGTACTAACGATATCGATCAAATTAAATTTATCTGATAAAATAATATTAATTTAACATTAATTTTTTTTATAGAAATTTAACATTAATATTTATTAGTAATGTATGGTTTTAGCAAACATGGGTTGGGCGGCAAAAAGATTATAATGACATCTAAATCAAAATAAATTGAGCAACGAAAATGAATCATTTATTAATCAGTAATATTCCTTTATTGGTTTTGATAATGACTCTTAACCCCAATGTTCTCAATAATCAATTCCGAGCCATTTGCATATAATATATTTAATTAGTCATAAAATCCAACTTGTGGAACAGTTATTTAATTAATCATAATCTTGTACTAATGACCCAATTAATTAAAGCTTGGGTTTGCTTAAGTTCACCCCCCAAGGAATATTATTCTAATTGAGCTGATCAAGGTACTTAATTGGTTAGTCAGTTTTGAGAATCTGATGAGCTCTTCCAATTGGGTTCCCTTAGTTAAATATTTTCATATTTCTCCACCTTCTTTATTTCTTAATAAATACTACTATTACAAAAGAATCATTTCTTTATTTCTTAATCAATGGAGACTTGATATTCTCAATCGATATTACAAAGGTTTTAATTATTTTTGTTATATATTATGTAATTTCCATCCATTTGTTCATTTAAATGTTCGTAATATATTACATATTTACTCATATTTGTCAGGTAACATATTACATAAATACCACAGTAATATGCTCTGATTAGATTTGTTGTTTTAAGTAATGATATATACAAATTTTCAATCTAATTATACTTTATGTTAATTTAAATGTAATTACAATTATTTAAACATATATAGTGTATAATTGTTTGGTTTTTTTGTAGAGAAGTAGGATAATTCCAAGGAAAGCGAGTTTCGGAGAGAGTCCAAAAGCACACGCAGAAAGTGGTGGAAGCGCGTGGAAGACAATTTCTGGCGCAACAGTGGGTCTAATCGCCACGTGGACATCATGCAGCTCCATGTTTTTAGGAGAGTTCCCACTACTATTTACCAGTGGATTTGGTGAAAACCGATGGCGGTGGCTCAGCTGGTTTTGGCTTCTAAAAATGTTTTGGAGTTAGGACTTGGAACTGCTTATTCAATTATTTAATCACTTAATGTTTAACTATTCCACGTCAGATTATTTATTTTCACAAACTCCTACCTTTCTCTATTTAAATTATTCAATTTGACCTCATTTTGTATTAGTTATCAAAGAAATAATTATATTCTTTTACAATTTGTTTTACTAAATATATTTGTTCTTAAGACTCCCGTACTTTTATTAAGAAAAATTAATAAATTATTATATTTTATTTTACATTTAATATGATGCTGAAATTAAGAAAAAATAAATATCTTCTTTGTCAATAATAAATATTATGACATTGATATTGAATGAAACATTTTCTCTCTAGAATCTATCCTCTATTCTCTTCTTCGAACATTTTTTATCTTTACTTATTTATTTAAATAAACATTTTTATCTATACTTATTAGGATTATAAATAAAAAGAATTATCTATACTTATTTATTTAATTTACTAAATGAATAATGTACAATTTTTTCATGAATGTTTTGTCGAACACTATTCATTTTATAATCCTAATAAATATTTTTGTTTTACTGCTCACTTTATATAATGGCTGCAAACTATGTTCATTTTTATTTTTGAATTATTAAATTGAAATTTTATATTTTGATACAAGGGTATAAAACGCCGGTGGTCTCTTATTTTCAGTCTATTCGATTTTGGACACTGATTTTGAAAACGTTTGATATTGGTCACTTTTATTTTTGATCTGTCTTATTTTTATCATTGAGTCAATAACTTTTGTTACTTTACTTACATGACACGTTACTAAAAATGATTAAATTTTAACTTGACTTTTAAATTTTAGACATAATATTGTTTTAGATAAAAAATACTAATTTAACCCTTAAACTTTATATAAAATATCAAATTGACTTCTAAATCTAACCAAAGTTCACTGTTGTTGACTGTCACTCATCACCATCATCAACCACCGTCGATTGTTGTTACACACCCATTTTAACCTCCGAATGTAAATCCAATGTTCGTTTTCTTAGTGCTCATGGCGTGCCCATCGGTTATGTCGAAGATGCCGAAGATCCATACAGAGATCAAATGGAGGAGGGCATTAATATTCCTAATAATGCTGGAGCTGAAAGCTAGAGGAATTGGAAACGATCATACTCTTGCTTACCAGGTTGGTTTTAAACCCAAGTTTTTGCTTTC